TTCCAGACGATCGACAATCTGCTGCAGGTTCTTGGTGTACTGTTCGACAGTCGCTTGCACAGGGTCTTTCGGATCTTTCGAGACCGTGTTGCCGCCGGGCTCGGTGACATGCTTCAAGTCGTGCAGTCCCCAATTGAAATGAATCACGTCCCACTTGCGGTCTCCCAGCCAGCGATCGATGGAAGCGACGCCACGTGTTGTCCCACCGCAGTTTTCAGGCTTGGTTCCGTCTGGCACATGCGGTCGGAAGACGTTTGCTTTGCCCTCAAGCAATTCACGTACTTGAAGCGTGTAACCAATGGAAATGGAATCGCCTAGGATCAGCACGTTCGGCAGCTTTGCGTCAGGCGTTTCGGCCCATTTGCCTTGCTTGGCAGGGGCATCTTTCTGAGCCATCAGGCAGGAGGCACTCAACAGAACGACAGCGGCCGAAAGAAAACTCGTTCGCAACATAGCGGGTTCTCGACAGGAAGGGGAAAGGAGGGGAGGTCAATCAAAGTTGAGCCCTGATCGTAATCGATTTGCCTGCCGCATGCACGCTATTTAAAGAAGACCAACCAACGAAGTTATGTTCAGACATTTCTTATCCAAAAAGATGTACTCCGAACGAGCAGTCGATCAGTCAGAGACGCCGGCGGGAATCGAACCCGCTTCGAGCTGCTTTGCAGACAGCCGCCTCGCCATTGGGCTTCAGCGTCAACGATAAGACGCAGCGACACCCCCAGGGTTCGCGCAGAAAAAAGCCGAACGCATTAAGTTAAAAGGCGTTCGGCTTTCCATGATCGCAAGCAAACGTTCTATTTCGAGTTCAACTCGAAGCTTGCATCATCGGTCCCACTCGAGGGAACCGTGAAGCTGAGCTCGGATCGGGCATTATAGTTCGGCGGCAATGTTTCTTCAGCCAGAACTTCCTGAGTGTTCTGATCAACTTGTGAGGTCGAAATCGAAACGGCATGGTCGCCTACGACGGCACCGTTGTGGCCTCCGAGCGATTGCAGTTCAAAACGGCCGGAGGCATCGGTTGTGCCGAACGACGGTCGTCCAGACTCTAAGTTGCTTCCTGAGGGAGCGAACACGACCGTCGCGTCGGCCAGCGGCTCGCCATCCAAAGTAACCGTTCCGGAAACAGGCTGATAGACAAAACCATCCGTGTTACCGCTGCAGCCCACGGCGCAAAGTCCGAC